TCACTCTCAGCCCATTTTCAGGGAGGCGGCCCAAACCCGAGAGTGGTTTTGCTTCACCTAGAAGCCCGGGGGGAAAACAAATAAACAAAAAAAGGCTAGCGGATTTGTGAGCCGAGGGGCGCCGACCTATGAGCGAGAGCCCCGTCAGCCCTAGGCCGAACTTCTACCCTACTGCGCTTTATACGGGTTGAGCGCCCCCTTTGAAAGCCCCCCGCCCCCAATCAGCTGTTCCCTCTGGCTTCTTCGTTTTTATCTTTAATCCCACCTCCTTCGTGCCCCAAAAAGCAATTAAGTAGCTGCCCATGGCAATATTTCAGCCAACGCCGAGGGAGATCCGTTGTATAAGACCCGCCCGAATCGCGGGCTCCACCGAAAGAAATTTCTGGCGGCTTTGACCTAGGAGAAACAAAAGGCCCTAGTCGGCATTTGAATTATGCTTGAGCAGGCGTCTCACACATTTATTTGCCTAAATTAAGCTGAGAGGCTTGTTAATTTTCGGCTTCATACAGGAGAGGGAAGGAGACGAGTAGTGGAAAGCAAGCTCCGGGATCGGAGCCGAATGTGGTGTCTAAGGTGGTCCCCGATGCGAGGGGTGTTTCTAAGAATGTAGCCTAAACGTGACCTGCAGTTTGCAGCCAGTTCCTGCACTAACCTGAGGCTGTTGGTCGGGGGTATTCTTAGGCGGCCTAACCCCAGGCTTTGAAGGCAGTGGGGGAAGACAAGAGAAAGACGGGGAAACGCTCTAGTTTTTCAGAGTTGTAATTTCAAAGAGCCCAGAATCCAGCATCTTAATGGCAGTTTAAGAACTTTGCCCAGCTGGCTGTTGGTGCCAGGGTACAGGATGCCCCTAGAAAAGATTGTGTGGCTAGATATGCCAGTTTTTTGGTCTACTTCGTTCAGTCTCTGTTACTGCTACCCACCATGTACTATATTAGAATTTCAATTGCTGTTTATGTGTGGACCCGGTTGGGGGACTGTGGGGTGGGGGTGGGGGGTTCACATAACTTACCTGGACTTTGACTTCCTTTCCTTTAAATAAAGGAGTTAGGTTAGGCCTTTTAAGAGCTTTTTGAGCCCTTCTGACCTTTAAGCAAAGCATTTTGGCTCCCACAAAATTGCCCCATACTGATTTTCACTCATTATGTAGTCTGAAGCTCTAAATCTCTACAGTTTGGATAGTGACCACAATAAAGTATTTAAAAGCCACTGCCTTGAGTAATGTTAGATGTTTTTTCTCCTCATTTATATCATATATTAGAAAAGTATCTAAAGTTCAGTATATGTCCATTTTAACAAAGAACTACAATGCAAACTCCTAATTAACTACCAGTCAGACCAAGAAATAGAACATTGCACACACTCTAAAGGCCCACTCGGATCACACAACCCCCTCTCTCCTCTACACGTCCATTTTTAGTGAAATATTCAGCTGCTTATTTGGGAGTTAAAAACAAAACATAACTGATTGCTAAATAATCTCACCAGTGTGTGACTAGCACTTTTGAGGCCATCTAGTGTTTGTGTGCTGTAGGTAGATAACGTGAAACAAATTTGCTACCTTCCTTGGACTGCTAATGTGGAGCTAAAGCTCTGGTTTCACACTGAGAGCATTGGTTGTTACATATCAGCTTTGCCAATTTTATGTTTTATATAACCGTTCTTGTATAAAAGTCCTCTTGCAAACATTGAACTTAGATGTCAGCGATTTAGTATCATTTCTTACAGAAACCTCAGCAAAATGTAGGTTGATTCAATTTGTTGATGCTTCGTTGGTGTATTTATTTTGTGAATACCACATGGGAGGGTGATTTGCATTTACTTTTTATTTGCTACATCAAGAGCACACTTGTAGTGCTATTGAAAATGCTTTAACGGTTAACCTTCAGATGTCTTAAGGTTCTCTTGAGCAAATCAGTTCATAGCCTTAAGGCAATTGATTTGATAATGTTGATGATTCTCGGTTCTGAGTTGAGTTTGTACCGAGGAAAGAAAGTAGTCAAAGTGTAGAGATAGAAAGATGAGCCAACTTAAAACAAATGGATTCATCAAAATGCTCTCAGGCCAGTTGGACTGAGGCAGGCTTTAGGTGGAGTAGGGGTAGAAACCCCTCTATGTAGAGCTGTAATGTCAAACTGTTTGCTTTCAGATGAGAGGCTATTTTCTGAATGGAGTAGAAAGGATCCTTTTGTTTGGCCCTAATGGCAGTACTGTCTTCTAACATAGAATAAGATATGTATTTCTTGTGGAAAGCAAAGAATTGGGCAGAATTTTTATAAATAACTATTTTAGGCCCAGCTGGAGTGGAGTGAGTGTCTCAGTTGGTTGAGCGTCGTCCTGTGCAGGGAAAGGTTTTCTCCTTTTTTTCACTACTTGTAGACACCTTTACTGGGCCAGAATTTTTAGTCCCGTTTTGTAAATTTTATATGAAAAGAAAAATTACAGGAAATTTTACCTAGAAAAAAAAGAGAGGCAGAGAAATTGTTTTTTAAAAAGTCGAAATCATTTTGAGTTTTAAAAGATGATTTTACCTAAAACCAAATTCTTCCCCAAAAGAGTAAATGCTTTCTCTGCCAATTATCAGGATTCTGCCTTCACTCTGCTTTGTTGGGATTTATAGTGTTCTAGCTTTTGAGTTATTGTACAGATGTAGCCCTGGTATAATCAGTCAGCAAACCCTTTAAAACCTTGGATTGAGGTGACTGTTCTGTTTTCTGCCGTTCCATTTTGCAGTCCTACTAGGGAATTAAG